AACAAGCATCTATAGTTGGACAAAAAGAGATCTTTAATTGATGATTCAAAACATACAGGGAGGGCGCTTCGGCCGTTACAATCATCAGGGCACTTTGGCCATTGAGACTACTACTACGAATGAAAAAAGATACAAGGACATCAAGCTTCTTGGCCTTGGCCGCCTTCAACGGCTCCACTATCGGCATCGTCCTCGACGTCCTCAGTGGTCTTAGACTTGGCCGAGCTCCGGAAGAGGTAGTCGTCACTCTCGGTCCAGGGCTCGTCCTCTTCATCCGAGCTCAGGATGGGGGGCTGCCTTTCGGACAGAGGAAGTTTCAACTCCTCCTCGGGGTCCTTCATCATCCGGGGAAGGCCGATACCCCTAGGCTTCAAATTTTTCACACGCCGGCGGAGACGGCGGTAAACCAACATTTGCATGCGCCTCTGGCCAAGGTCATACCAGACTTCGAATTCTTGTTTAAGGCATGCTCGGCCAGCCTCCTCCTGAGACCACGCCTCGAAGCGCTCCGCCACGACCTTAAAACTCCAGTCGCGCCGGGTCTCGTCCTTCCACCCCTCGGCCATGAAGAGCTCAACGGCTCTATCAGCAGCCGCTGCCGCATCGGCCTCCAGCTGCACAGCTTTCTCTTCTGCTAGCCGACGGGCGGCCGCTTCTTCATCAAGATGAATTTTGAGGCGCTTCGCCTCGTCCTCAGCAACAACGGCCCTCTTCTCGGCCGCATCAGCTCTCTCCTTTAAGGAGCCAGTTTCAGCCCGAAGCCGCTCCAACTGGGACAGCGCCTCGTCTGCAGAGGCGGCTTTCTGCTCGGCCTCCCGAAGACGGACAATTTCCTCTTCCTGCTGACGGTGCTGCTCCATCAGCATCAAAGCACCCTGTAAAAGAAAAAAATAGTCAGAAAAGGAAAGCAAGGCAAGAAAAATCTAAGTACAAGATTGTATACTTACTTGGACGACGTAGTCCAACCCGCCATCGAAAAGGCGCACTTCCTTGCCTTGACGACGAAGGTAGGCCCTATCCTCATCGGGGATGGCTTGAAACAGTACGTCGTGGCCGGAGACTTTCTCATTAAAAAGCCCGCCCTTCGTCGGGTAACGGACCGTCACCTCATACAGTCCGGAGGCCAGGTCACGGCCGCTGCGGGAGCTTGCCTGGACATCCTTCCCAAGATGCAGCGACGTAGGGATGAGGGCAGCCGCCGTCTCATTCAAAGTGAGGTCCTCAATCACCTGAACGTCGGGGACCTGCTCCATTTGGGTCGTAGCCCGCACAACAGCCGTAGCGGCATCCTTAGAGGATTGACCCTGCTTCGGCCTCTTAGCATCCTGGGTCGGCTTCAACCCAGCTTCAGTCAAGGTTTTCTGCCCCTCAGCAGGCTTCCTCTTCTTCTGGGCCGCCGCCTTCTTCACCGCTTCGGTCTGAGACTTGGAGCCGTCACCAGAACCTTTGGACGCCTCGGCTTGTTGAACGGCTTCCATCTCCTTGGCGACCATCTTTTTGGCCTGGGTCATGAAAAGCTTACGGCTCATGGTGAAATCTACAGACGCAAAGAGCACAACAAGAGTTAGAAAAAACAAATACAACAACTATAATGTAAATCAAAAGAAAGTGATCAACCTTCGGCATCGGCCGGGACACCGAAGTAGGGCCCGTCGGCCTGCTCAAAGTAGCCGGATATCTTCGGCCATAATCCACAATCAGGGTCACCAGGAATATGGTACCGCATCATCCCTAGAGCTGCTATCTTGAACTCGGTGATGTAAGTGTTAACGCTCCGCGGCCCACCCTTCAGGAACGCCTCCACTTGAGCATCAATCTCAGGGCTCCTTGGTGGGTTGTGCAAATTAAAGATACCGTTGTGCCCTTGAGATGGGAAGAACACCCTGTCGGCTAATTTCACGAAGCAAAATTTACTCTTCCACCCATGGATGGACGACGGGAGATCAGTAAAAGATCTTTTCTTCGGCAGCTGTTGGAGGGCAGCATACCCAGCACAGTTCTCGTGGCTGCCCCGTCCGATCCGGTATAAGTTCGTGAACAATGCCGTCGTCGGCTCAATCCCAAGCTCATCGCATCGGAGGAGGAACCCGACGATGAGGGAATAGCTGTTCGGAGTAAGCAAAGCGGGTGGAAGATCTATCATGTTGAGATACTCCACAACAAAGGGATGAAGGGGGAACCTCAAACCCTGGGAGAAGCTCATCGGATACACTCCGAAGTAACCGGGAGGTGGATCAAGAACATGGTCCGTCGGCCTCGGCGCCCTAACCCTTCCATAAGGACCGACGTAGAGCTGAGCCACCTGATATTCACCTTGGGAACCCTCCGGCCTTATGATATAAAGGTTCGTCAAATCTAGCTGCGAGATGCTACCAGATAACCCCTTCCGACGACGTGACTTACGCATCTTGGATTTAGAGGAAGACGGAGCAATACCAGGGACCGAGGTAAGCGGGGGAGGACAAGGAATAGCGGCCGAGGATGCATCACCCGCATCGTCGCCACGAAGTTTGGGGTCAGAGCTCGCTTCGTCCTCACCAGACCGTTGAGACCCCGCATCAGCGCTTAGACGCTCCTCGTCCACGGAGGTGCGGTAATCCGCAGTGTTCTCCATCTCAACCTCGAAAGCCTCCACCACTCTTAGATCAACCCCAGGGGATGTGTCCTCGTCGTCAAAAGGCCAATCAGACTCGTCCAATGAAGCTGTTAAGTCAACGGGAGAGGGAACGCGACGGCCGTCAGGGAACGGCATAACAACTATCGCTACGTCCTAAGGGTAGTTTTCGGATCAAAGTGACTTTCCTAAAGAACACTAGATCTAACACCCTAAGAAGCAAAATATGAAGAAATCAAAGAAAAATTAAAGTATCTAACCTTTAAAGATTCGAAGAATGTGACGAACACTTGGAAATTCTCAGAGCTTTCTCTCTCTAGAAAGACTTGGGCAGCAATTCGACAACAGCAAAGGCGCAAATGAGGAAGTGGCTTCGGAATAAGGGGGTATTTATAGAAAACTTCCAAACGGTCACTACACGTGGCGCCATCCCATTGGCTCCACCAACGGCCACCTCTATCCCAACCAATCAAGGGGCGTCAATGCAAAATCACTCAAGCAAGCACCCCTACGGCCCAACTCAGCCTTAAAAAAGAACAGGGCATCGGCCGAGTACCACTACGGCCCAAGTACTACAGGGCTTCAAAGCAAGCGTCGGCCCATACGGCCGAAAAAGGAACGCATCGGCCTAACTCTACGTCCTAAAAACAACCCAAAGAACCTTAATAGACCGCTACGGCCGCCTTGTGCGCACATCGTCGATGATAACCCTGGCATTGCGGCCTTCGTCCAAGGGTTCTCCCACAGGGTTACCTTGGACAGGTTCGCCTAAGGGTTGGAGTCACGACTAACGCATAGGTACCGGATCGGCTCATTACTCCCTTGTGCCTCAGATGCTCTTCGGCCAAAGGTGTGGGGGACTGGGGGACTGCATCGGCCACAAGGAAAGAAAACGCAACGGCCTTAATGCAAAAAGGATGCGCTACGGCTCACCAACAACAAAAGACGGGCGATTCGCCTCAAAAAAGCATTAAGAGTCGCGTCAGCTACCTCAATGGCGTTGCGGGTCACATCAGCCGCAGAGCCCAAAATGAAAAACCCAAAATACAAAACCTAAGCACGCAACGGCTGCGCACACTGGGGGACCGCATCGGCTCACCAGAGCAAGAACCCACAAATCAAACGCTTCGACAAATCAAAGGCGTGCATCGCATCGTCTACATAAATGGAATCAACCATCTCCAACTCATGAAAATATGACACCGCTACGGCCAAAAGAATGGATGGGAGCTCTTCGGCCCCAACAAGATGACGACGAAAGCATGCCAACTTATCCACCAAGGATTCATCGCATCATCTACAAAAAAGAAAGCGCATCGCCTCGTCTTCAAAGGCACTTCCACAGAGTGTGCATCGGCCCGCATCAAGGCTATGAGTTCCCAAGCACGCTTCATCTACATCAAATAAGGGAACCGCTTCATCCAAAACCGAAGCAGGAACTCTTCGGCCATCAAACGCCTTAGACTCACGCAACGGCCAGCCAGAAAGGAACAAGTACTCCCTTTCGCTTCGGTTTCACCTCAGCTCAGAGAGTGGGGGACTCCTGATAGAGTATATGGGCCTGGACCCCATGGCCCACATACTCAACGTCCAGAGGCACGTAGCGTCCAAGAGAGAAGATATCGCCTGATTTCTATGGACCGCGTCGTCCATGGACCGCGTCGTCCATGGACCGCGTCGTCCATGGACCGCGTCGTCCATGGACCGCATCGTCCGTGAACCGCTTCGTCCGGACTTCGTCCGGGCAGAATGTATTTTCCTATTTTTTGTACTAAGTGTTGTACTCAGCCCATTAGTGGCCTTATTCGCCCAAAGAAGGCATGATTATTGTAATGGGCCTCCTAAGCCCAAGGTTAGGGGCCCAAATCCACATTTTTACCTATAAATAGACCCCAAGGGGCTAATTATAGGGGATTGGCAAGTTGAGAAATATAATTACTCACTTTCTCTCTCTAGCTCTCACCTCTCTCTAGAATTAATACTCTATCACGTAGTAGCTGCACAGTCAAGCGTTGGATCAGAGAGGTTCTCATCATTTCCAAGTGGGGTCTCTAACATATCCTTGCCAGCATCACATGTAACCAATTGATGACAATCCTCGGGTACCGCCACGTGAAGGGTGGCCACCCGGGTTTCATCAGACTCGAAACCCATTGGAAGTTGGACATTTGTAGCCTTAGTAGATAATAATAATAATAATAATAATAATAATAATAATAATAATAATAATAATAATAATAATAATAATAATAATAATAATAATAATAATAATAATAATAATAATAATAATAATAATAATAATAATAATAATAATAATAATAATAATAATAATAATAATAATAATAATAATAATAATAATAATAATAATAATAATAACAATAATTATTCCAAGAGTCCAGAAACGTAAATGAAGGTTTGTGAGGGCGTCGAAAGAGATAAAGCCCATCCGCAAGGAGCGAACGGGAATAAACAGGAGCAACTAACCTTCATTCATCTTTTATATATATAGTAATAGTAAGATATATATAGTAAGATAAAAGTGACAGGTGTACTAAGTGCATAGTCAAAAGTTGGATCAGAGACAGCCTCATCATTTCCGTCTCAGGCCTAGAACGTATCATTTCCAGCATCACAGGTAGCCAGTTGATGAATTTCCTCGGTTACCGCCACGTGAAGGGTGGCCACCGGGGCTTCATCAGACTAAAAACCCGTTGGAAGTTGGACATTTGTAGCCTTAGTAGCGTTACAGGCAGCCTGCGTAGCATTTGGGGCATCTGTAACATTATTATACACAGCATAAGGGACTGCAACACCATTTTCTGGGCCTGCAACATCAATAAAAGAAACTGCCCGGGCCTCCAAAGGCTTAGCAGTATCAGGGACATCAAATTCAGGGTTTGAACTAATACGGATGTTGGTAACAACATAGATAAAAGAAGCTGCGTGGGCCTCTAATGGCTTAGCAGTAACAAGCATATCAACTTCAGGTCTGGCACTTACAGAAGCATTAGTTACTTGGATAGTAAATGGGATAGTAACAAGTTTATCAACAGATACATACATTAACCTGGGCATCATTTGGTTTCACACAAGGGGCATCAAACTCTTTCACACAAGGGGCATCAAAAGCAGGGGCACCCAAAGGTTTCACTGGTAACCACGCTGTGGTTATACCACTGTTGTTTTCATGTGAGCTTTGGAAACTGGAGCTTACCAAAATTCACCTTCCATTTGCATCCCCCATGTCACGTCATTAAAACAATATCACTGTGTTGGGGGATCGGGAAGAAATGCTTGTGGTATACCCACTTGCTCACAATACATCTGTAAACATGTTAGTAAAGCTCAGTTTACTCTTATTCTAAGCTTCTAAGATATTGAGTACCAATAGCATTGAATAAAATAAAGTTTAAAAATACGAATAAACCTAAAATTGGGAAGAAGAATCCATCCCACCACCATGCCATCTTTCAGGAAGATTATAGCAATACAATGGTCTGCTCTGTTTGATAAATGGTATATTTATAAATGGTTTATTTTTAAAGTATTAAAAAATTAGAAGAAAAGGTGTAATAGAAATGACATGTTAATATGTTATCAATGCAGTTTTTTATGCCTATAATTTTAGATCATACTTCCTAATTGTGTCTTCTTTACACTATCATATTTTCTTCTTCCATAACTATTGGTTTTTGCCTATTTGCATATTTTACTTGCTTAAATCAGATTTCCAGCTTTGTTTCTAATGTTTTTGAGAGAGTCTAGAAGTCTATTTCTCCCAAAAATAGATTATTTAGTATCTGATAGTTTCTTATAGCCTACTTTACTTGCTTTCTTCTCACTTAGTATGTTAAACCTGCCTTACTCACACTACTCGATATTAAGTTATCTAAGACAAATGACTAATTGAAATCTAGAATTTCCTCTACCTAAGTTACTTTCTTACTTGCTTAGTTCAAATTTTCTGCTTCTTTTCAAATGTATCAAATTTCCTAGTATTTCTGTATGCCAAATTACTTTTTCTTTTCTCATTTAGTATGTTAAATCTGACTTATTGTAGTTACTCAGTAAAAAAATCTAAATTAAACCATATCATGATGCTTCAATGTACGACAATATCACCATTTCCTTGTTTTCTAAGTTCAATTTTATTTGTGCCTTACATATCCTGTAGTAGGAAAAAGAAATTTTGTAGAGGAGATCGGAGTGTATCCTTTTGATACGATAAACAGAAGATGCCAGGTCGGGGGGCACTCCACTGATGCTTAATAAGATGAAAGCCTAAAAAATTGATATGACTATTTTTAACTATTTAACTAAAGATTTTGGAGAAAAAACTATGAAGTAATTAATTAAAGAGTGCACCAGCTACTTACAGGATTTGGTGTGTGCATCATTAAATAGTCAACAACTTCTGAGGGTCCCTTCACATTATCATCTGCATATAACATAATAAGAAATCATTCTTCAGTGAGATTCTCATTCAAAAAAGCATGGTTCTCTAAGCAAAAGCTTAATATTAGGATAATTCTTTGGAAATATATTAACTCTTTTATGCCTTTCCTGGAAAATTTACACAGATTTCAGATTCAGCTAGCTTCTAGATGTCCAATTTGCTTTCATTTTCAACAGATTCAGGACAATTATTTTTATTCATGCCCAGAAATCAAGCAAATTTGGAGCTATTTATGAGCTTGCTACATATTCAAGCTCCAATACAGCCTGAAATCAAGCAGGTACCTTTCACCTGTTGGCTAGGAGCTCAAGAGTCATCAATGCAGGGCATTCTTAGGCATGTTCTTCCGGGTTTCATCATGGTGCCTTGGAAGAAGCCATCCCTGCAAAACGAGATGAGCAGAACAGTTATCTGACATTAATACAAATAATGCCCCATAATATATAACCATATAGATCAACATCAAAGTTGTGAACATTGGTAAATGTGAAGGTCAAATTTGGGTATTGGTAAACCTGAACAAAGATTGAAATTCGTATTTACCAAATTTAAATGGAGCAAAAATTCTAATAAGTTAGTATCATATACGTAGTACATGATAAGTATTAAATAAACGTTGAGGAATACAATTATCATCACAGTTTAGAGCTAAACTACATTGACTCACATACCTCTATTAAATGTGTTTCTCTATATATAGTCAGGTATTCCGAATTGCGCATTTTGAGCTGTTTTTGGTATGTAGTTATTATTGGTCCCGGTTATTGAGGTAACAGTCTGGGGGGGGGTGAATAGACTGTTATGGTTTTTAACTTTTTCAAGCTAAGTACCAAGATTGAGAATAGACTGGCAGCGGAGGTTTTCTGGTAGGTGTTCTGTCGGGGTAGCCTCACAGAGGATGAAAGGCACTTGGCCTTCTGTTAACTCACAAGAGGTGTTCTGCTGAACACAGATACCACTTCTTTGGAATTAATCAGTTTGCAAATAGAAAAAGCAGTAAGTAAGTGACACCAGGGATTTTTATAGTGGTTCAAGGAACAACTCGTTCAATGAGAAGCTCTCCACGTCTTCTTCAAGTGTAGATGTCTCCTGGGATGCACTTCCTTGCTTCCTTTAAGACTGGTCTTGTTTCACTGAGTCTCCTTGAAGTATCACCACTTCACCACTCAAGCTACTTTAAGACGCCCTTCTTTGCAGAAGATGTTCTGTAGAAAACAGAGTTTTCTCCAACTTGCTTCGTCACAAAAGATTTGTAATGAGGTGCTTGAAGAGTTGAAGAACAGTAGGAACTTTGCTCTTTGTTGGAATAAGAAGATTGTGAGAAGATGTTATCTTTCCAACGTAAGCTTCTCTTGTTGATGAAGATGGACTTTTAATCTCAAGATAGCTTCTGATATTGTTGTTGTGAGAGCAAAAGTTGTTCCAAAAGTTCTTCAAGGTGTATCTTTTATACTGGAGTTGTCTTCCCGTTGGAGGAGGAGACAACTGCATTGAATGCGCGTATTGCATGAGTTGACCGGTTGGGCCCGCAAGTTTGGCGGCTTGCTATTTTGGGATAGGCTTTCCAGGAATCTCGGTCAATCATCAGCTTTTACTCTTCGGAGTGTAGAGCTCATTAAATGAGCATTAAATGTTGTCCTGTAGCATTTCCGTTGAGTAAGAGCTAGCCGTTGAGAGAATCTTCCGTTAAGGCACATCGGCGAGGTAGCTTGCAAATTCTCTAAGTGTTTGATCTTCTGTTGCGGTTTCCAGAGGGTCAGATCACAGAGGGTCTCGAGCTCTTCTGACCATTGGAACTTCAACAGAGTACCATGAGCACTTCTGTCAAGTAAACAGCCAACAGAGGGCCATGAGCTCTTCTGAAGGATCCAAGTTCAGCAGAGAGCCAAGAGGTCTTCTGTCAGTCGACTACTTTAGAATGCTTACACTTAAAAAAAAATTCTAATACAACAATTCTAAATGGGGGTACTCTAATGTTCTAATTAATCTAGCATCATCAAAATCTAAATACATTTATTCCTTACAGTTATCAGTGAATCTAATTTCTCATTTGCCAATTCGATCAAAAACACGTTTTTGTGCTTCTAGCTACCTAGTAAACAAATACTTCGTAAAACATTGTAGAATCAGAAACTTGTGAATATATGCAGGGTACTCACAAATACAGGCTGGGTAATTAAGATGGAATTCTTCATTTGAACATCTATGATTTTCACGTTAGATATAATAAAGAGATTGTGAAGATCCCTCTGATCAGCAGCTTCCTTGTTTAAGATGGACAAAAGTATTGCAGCAGTACTTATCACACTGGATGAGGTAGCAAATGCTATCAGTTTTCTTGTTTGCCAGCTACTAATATAGCTTGAATAACTACAATAAACTATTGTAGTGACTAATATCAAAAGATTCACTATACCATGACTGAACATTCTCATAGAAAAACAATCTTCACATAAACTTTAAAACCTAATGTACACCCACCCACCTGAAAAATGTGTGCAGAACCTTTTTGTACTAAAAAAGTTCAACTTAAAGTCAACTCCACCAAGAAGTGAGTGGTTGTAGAAGCTGTTCCCTTCACCTGATCTGATTTTTTCTGATATGATTTGAATCTTTCTGATCTGATCTGATCTGATCTTAATCAAATAAGAATAAGGAATAAGTAATAAGAATAAAACGAACAGAACAGCTTCTTAGTCATTTACTCCAAATAATATGATTAGTTTAGTTTAGCAAAAACTCTGATTTGTAAGTGGTGATAACTAACCAATAAGGTCATGGTTTGAGAATAAAAGTGTTATTAAAAAAATCTTTATCATAAGACAGCCGCTTGATCTCAATGATAATAAATCAATGAACTACAACTTAACAACAATAGCTTACTGCCCATACCCTGATATTATAAACCAATGAATGACATAAAAAACATAAGAATACAAACTTGTTTTGGTGTGGAATAGATATACTTCTCTTTCAGCTGAGCTGCATCAAGCTCTTCACTGATAGTAGGAACCCCATAGTTTGTCAAGTTTCCAATAACATTATCATACACACCCAAGCCCTCCATATAGTCGTGTGTCTGCTCTGGCTGGTCTTCATGCATAAGAATGAAAAAATTAGTTTAATGGGAGAGAGTTTAGTTCAAGGCAACCATTTCCAAATCCCAAAAGTAGAGGTTAATGCCCAGGGGTTAATCCCAAAAAATTAGTTTAATGTTTTTGGGTAAAGACCCCTGTTCTGTTACTTGTAGTGTTTTAGCCTCTGATTCTTCAACTATTTGTACCTTCTGCTCAGGGGTTAATGCTCTTGCTTTCCACAATGCCTTGATTGTCCTGCAAACAACCAAAATGACATTCGGAATCAGTCAACGACTGTCTCATTACAACTGTTATGGATCATTAATTAGCTGAAGTCACGGGTATCATGAGACATGTCTCTTATTTACAGTATAAAGTTTCAATTTGCAAATTCATATGTATATTATATATAAGAGGTAAAAAGAACCTTAGTTTCATTTCTCATAGAACTATAAGAAATATTCAATAGGAGAAAACCAGAATTGTTGTTGATCACGCTGAATAATAATTTACTTACCAAAGTTAAAACCTAACAAAATAGGAAGACGCAAAAATCACATTCTCGCATAAATCCTTTGTGAGGCTTAAGTGTCATTACAAGAATAGGGCTGCCCATCGATGACAACGTGGGGGGAATGACTTGAATATCTTCTATGTCTTTCCAAAGAAAGAAAAAAATTGTCTTGTGTCCAAAGAGATCTGCAGGAAACCCAACTATCCTTGGAAACTAAAATACGCGGCCCTGCTCAAAAGCAATTACAATTCAAGGGGATTGTTGACATTAAAGCAAAAGACAAATATAAATACTCAATCGGAAATTGTATAGAATCCTATAGTCATAATTAATGAAATTCATTGAGAATATATAATACAGATATAATTACCTGAAGGGGCATTCTGCGCTTCAAGTGACAACTGAACTCGTTAATCAGAAACTCCTCAAGTGGAAGTCCGATGAGTTTTTGGAAAGCTGAATTTGTTTGAGGGGATCTTAATGTTATCTATAAAACATTTGATAAGAAAATAATAAATTCAAGGAAGGAGACTATGGAAAAAAAGAAAATCATTTTAGACGAAAAAGGAAACCATTTGGGTGTATATCTTCTTCCCAAATTCTTTCTCCATCTTGGAAAAATAATCTATGGCAAGGTTATTACCTTTCGTATTATTCAAGAAATTCTTAAATGCAACTTAGACTGACAGGCTTGAGCCAACTTCCCATGAAGGGGAACCAAAACAGACAAATATTTTAGTCTTTAGAAAATTAATTTCAGCACGTCCAGCAGATGTGGCTTCAATGAAAAGGACCATCAAAATCGAAAAGCTCCACAACCAGTATAGAAGGCGACTCATCCATCGTATCAAACTCAAAGATTTATGTATGTGAGGAAGGCTAAAATATAAATATAGTCAAATTTAGTATATGCACTTCCAGAAAAATTGAATGGTTAAACAAATAACTACAATACCACTCCACCTGGGATCTGAACTTTGGAACTTAATCGAGCTGGTTCTCGTATTCGCATGGCAACTGAAAACAACATATGGATCAGAAAATCCGGTTGAGCCTGAATCCTACAAAAGGTGTTCTAATTTTAAAGCCCGAGAGGAACAGATGATCGATTATAATCATTATAAAGATGAATGGAGAAGTATGTGAAACCTGGGCAAGGCATAAATCAGAAGTAAATTCATAAAAGCAACATGTGTCATCAAGAAAAGCAGTTGAAAAGTAACCATTTGTTGCATGAATTGTGACAGCTCGCACCTGGCGAATTTGGGAAATAATAAGTAAAAATGAATAGAAACTCAAAGTCAATGTCAACATTTAAACGAATGACAACAATAGCAATGAGCAAGCAACAGGAGAAACGAATGCACTCACAACAGTCAATTGAGACGCTCAAAGCAACCTGGAAGGGCCAAAACACATCAGCAATCAGGAGCAGTAACAAGTGGCGGGATATTTTTTCCAAGTTAGATTGCAATTCTCAAATGTTAGGTGCTGAAATTTCACACCACATAGTGTTATCCCTTGCACATAGATAACCTTCACTCATTAACCGAACTTCATCCATTAACTGAACATCTAAATCGTCATTAATTGGCATTTCATTTGTTGGCATCTCATTTCATTAATTGGTAAACCCACTTCAGTTTCTTATAATTCACTCATTTGATGCATTGTTTGAGTGGCTTAAAGCAGGTTTAAAAATTGAACATTCATCCATATGAATATATTAGTTCATTGCGAATGAAAGAAAAAAAGTCGGAATCCCAAGGTCTAAGATAAATATTTCTTGAATTGGCCTAATTTTGTTTCTAACTTTTTTATTGATTAATTTTACAAAGATACGTTGAATTGAGACTTAGCAAGTTTTTACCAATACCAAATGGGGCTTCTAACCTAACAGTGAAATGACTTCAGATTGATATAAAAGTATAAAACAATAAGGATTTGGTTGACATTGGTTTGATATAAAACACATGGATCCACCTCACAATTTTTCCAGTCCATGTGATCCTCTCCTTGAACTCTGAACCTGAATGCCTGTACAAGAATTAAAAATGAACTCAAAATTATAATGACTTGTTTACATAATACAACATACTATGTATAACATAAACTACAAAATATTGAAAACACAACTTATTAAAAC